CTTGTTTAAGGGATTTTGCATAGGAAAAAATAACAGTATGGGATTAAGCTGAGGGATATTCCTTGTTGCACTGTGAAAGATACCACATGACAATGACCTACCCAGTACTTACTTGTGATTCTAATAATCTTAAATAAGCAGAAAGCAAAGGCTATGATAAGATACTGTTACTCAGCAAACCAACGTTTTGAGAACAAGGATGCAGCTTTCTGGAAGATAATGTTCTTTTTTTCCCCTGCACAGTTTCAAAAGAAAGGTATTTAATCCTTCTATAAATAAGTATGAACGCATTTGCTTCTAGAGTCTACAAAATATGTCTGCAACAAAGCAATGCAGAGACATTTGGGAATGAAGCAGCTAATTTGATACTCGTAAGAAACCGTAACCGTAGCCTAGGACTGTATCTCAGAGGACTGGACTGACCTTTCAGCAGCTGGTGATAGTTCTAAAATGGCTTCTCATCACTGAAAGCCCAATCTAACATCAGTTAAAATAAATTAAAAGCTATCACTGGCTTCTGCGGATATTGGATTAGACCATATAAAACCCACTTGAATGCTGGGAACCCAAGGAAATTATCATGGTAAATCTAAATTCTAGTGAAGCCTTACAGGCTTTAAAACATCTCTCTGCAGCCCCATTAAGAATGGGTTTCTACTTAGCTCATGAATAATTCACCTTTCTTTTCCTTCTGATAGATGATGAGTACCACCACGATGAAGCCTAAGCCCAGCACAAAGCTCAGTGTTCCAGCCACCTTCTTGCTCAGAGCGGATCCAGAGCATGTTTCTGTTGGAAGAGAAGTCCAGAGAAGTCCTCTCCAGATGCCCAGGCTAGACATTGCTTTCCCCCAAAATATCTTTCCTAGTTTCCTGCTGTCCCCAAGGAGCTAGAAGTGACTCTCCTCAAGGCTTTCTCATCTCCCCATTTCCAGTTACTCTCCCAGGGCCATGGTGATGGGCAACCAAAGAGCTAGAAGTGACTCTCCTCAAGGCTTTCTGATCTCCCCATTTCCAGTCACTTTCCCCAGGCCATGGTGATGGGCATGGGCGGGCTGACATGCTCCACCTGCTTAGACAACCCCTTGCTTTGGCTTGACTTCCAAAGTGACCAGGATCTGATCACTGGTACAGTGAGAAGACCTCAAAACTGTGGGGAGACTGGCAGATTGAAGAAGTGCATATTATCCACAGGTTAACAAGGATTTATCTGCCTTACCCTCCTTCCTTTTGGAAGGACTTGCTCATGCCCTGAGAGCATGGTCCTAAATCTACCCAGAAGACACTATGTCGACCTTCAAGTAGAAGGTACAAGCTGATCTTCTGGCAATGTAGGTAGAAGGACGCTGGACTTTTTGGAGATGCTTAGGACTCCAGTTCAGAGGTCCATGAACTGTGCTGCTGATAAAAACCCTCACTTGAAAGACTCCAAATCAGAAAGAGATGGCACTGCTGGGAAATACACCTTCAGGGCTCTCAGAAGGAGAGATGGAAAAGATTTCCACATGCCCAGTCCTGAGGGGAGAGATTTTCTGTAACAGCATTTCCAATCCTGAACTATGTGGACAAACTAGGTTTGTCTCATTAGACACCAGAGAGATGCGAGTCACATGACATGGTTTAGTGGTGTTTTTGTCAGTGTTAGGTTGATGGTTGGACTTGATGACATGAAAGGTCCCTTCCATCCTAGACAATTCTATGATTCTATCTTGGAAGAGGCACGAGTTGATTTCTTGCTTCATACCACTCCCATCCTGATCCTTGCCTTTCTTAGGAGTCCCACTCCCTGGCCAGATCTGGAGGATCTGAGGCTAAAAGCCTCAGAATCAGAAGGGAACAAGGACAGATTCATTTCCAAAGCAGAACTGCACGGAGCTTTTCCTTCTCCACCTGCTAGAAAGGACAAAGTGAAGGACCAGAAAGACATATAGGGCTTGGGTGAGGAGGCTCCATGCAGAGACAGTCTGGAATTAAAGGCCCAGGCTGAAACATCCACAGAGAAGGCATTTCAGAACTTTACCTGCCAGGTAAAGGCTGGGCATTGCTGAACTCCAAGGGCAGAAAAGCCATCTGGGAGACCGTCAACTTTGTACTCTGCTAGTACTTCATCCTCATTTTCTCTTGGGGACTGAGGGACCAAATTCCTGTCCTGTCTAGTGATGCCATTTGTTCTTTAGAAAGAAGGATGGGAAAAGTTCAAGTTCAGTTCAAGAAACTTGAGGCCAGACTTTCCTGTGTTATCCCCTTCCCTCCAAAGACCCACAGATGGCCCTGGAGCAGATGGGTCTGAGAGGAAGGATCTTATCCTTTTCCTGGTGTATTTAGACACTGTCATTGGTGCTACTGCCTAAGTATTCCCTAAATTAATTGTTTATCTGGCCTGGAGAGGGTTTTATGAGTCAAATAAACCTGGAAAAAAATAATCTGGGCAGTATGGACCGAACAAGAGAGGAAAAACCTATAGCTGAGAGCAATAATAAATGCACCATCTGTGACCAGGCAGAGAAAACACGTAACACGCACTGAACAGTCATTACACACTCATTTAATTCTCACATTAAGCCAGGAGTTCCCTGAACGATAGAGCCCTAATTTCCTACCAATTTACATCCTGTATCTCTGCCTGACACCGCCGCAGTACCAGCTCCTTCCTGCGCTGCGATTCTCTAAGAAACCACACCACAAGGCTGTACCAACAGCCAGCAAAGCTCAATGCTGGCCCTTACAGGAGAGGATGGTGACTAGCATTAAAACAAAACTAATTCTGCTCACTCGGGAGCACAAAGGCATGTTTGTCCCTCTGTTTCCATCCAGCACTGAGGCAGTACCCTCTGTGTGTCCAGGCGGTCTGCCCGATTCCTTGCAGTGGCACGAAGGACAGATGTTGGACAAGTTTCTTTGTTGGTTGAGGATGCATTTCCAGTCCAGTTCTGACCTACCCTCCCTGCACCTTTCCCTGCGGTCTCCTGTCCTTCCTCTGAATGTCTCTCTCATCCACCTGCTTATTCCCCTGCCCCTGCTCTGCAGCTCTAATTCCTCGGGACGGCCTTTCAAGGCAACTCGGAGCTCAGGTCTAGACTGAGAGCCACGGGTGGGGACATCAGCTTACTGGGAGCAAAGGCAGAGGTGAACGAAGGCCCTGGCAGCGCAGGGATTTTGAGGACAAGTAGCTTTTCATGCACAGATAAAAAGCACCGCAGGGGAAAGTCAAAACCAAAGCTTTGCTCTTCTTTTTCCCGTGAGTCCAGCTTGTTTCTTTGAAATGAGGTCTCTGGCCAGCAATTCTTTTCTTTCCTGAGACTTTCCAGCGAGGCAGGGATTCATCTCCCTATAAGCAGTGTCACTGCCAAAGCTGCCTCCCAGCATGTCCTGCCCCCGAGGCATCACGCTGCTGCTGGCTCTCCTTTCACCCACTGACTACAAAGATCAACGCACAGGAATGGGACAACCCCTGACCACAAGCACAGCAGACGTGGTCAACCTCTGTCTTCCCCTAGTGTGACTGAGCAGAAAAGGAACATGCAGGCAAAGGGCAGAACAGAGCAGCAAATTCCAGGTAGCACAGGGAAGCAGCACTGACTTTACCCCATTTTTATAGAATCATAGAACGATTTTGGTTGGAAGTGAGCTTTAAGGATCATGTAGTTCCAACCCCCCTTGCCATGGGCAGGGATGCTTTCTACTAGGAGCAGGTTGCTCAAAGCCCCATCCAACCTGATCCTGAACACTTCCAGGGATGTGGCATCCACATCTTCTCTGGAAAATCTGTTCCAGTGTCTCACCACACTCACAATAAAATAATTTCTTCCTTATGTCCAATCTAAATCTACCCTCTTATAGTTTAAAATTGTCCCTTTGTCCCATTGCCCCTTGTCCTGTCACGACATGCCTTAGAAAAAAGTCTCCATCTTTCTTATAAGCCCCCTTTAAGTACTGAAAGGCTGCAATAAGGTTTCCCCGGAGCCTTCTCTTCTCCAGGCTGAACTCTCCCCCAACTCTCTCAGCCTGTCCTCACAGCAGAGGGGCTCCAGCCCTCCCAGCATCTCCATGGTGGCCTCCTCTGGCCCCACTCCAACAGTTCCATGTCTCTCCTGTGCTGAGGTCCCAGAGCTGGAGGCAGCACTGGGTGGGGGTGTCACCAGAGCAGAGGGGCAGAATCCCTTCCCTTGCCCTGCTGGGGATGCAGCCCCCGATACGGTTGGCTTTCGAGGCTACAAGCACACATTGCCAGATCAAGTCCAACTCTTTTCCCACTCATGTCCCCAAGTCCTTCTCTGCAGGGCTGGAGACACTCGCCTTCTTGACAACTGCTTTTCACCCGCCACTCGGAGGAGCTGGAAGAAGCAGAGGGTCAGAAGGCAGAAAATGGGAGAAGGAGAAGGGTCTTGTCCCCAAGGAGGACTTTCAGTGCAGAACAGAGTCTTGTGTCCCTGATTAGGAAAAGCATGGGCCAACATGGGGCTGACCCCTCCCGAGATGGCCCCAGGAGGACAGGAGAGTGGCAGATGGTCCCCGAAAACCACAGGATGCAGTCCGCAGACTATGCTAATACTAAGGAGGGCAGCCTCTCCCTTCAGCCCGCTCCCACAAGCGCCCTCAGGGCCAGCTGGGGAGCAGGGCTGCAGCCTGGCCCGGCTGAGAGCCCAGCGGCCATTGCTTTCTTCTTCCCCAGAGGCTTTGGCCTGGCCCATCCCCAGCCCATCTCGTTCGATGGAGGCGGTGGAGCCCAACCCTCTGCTCCTGAGGCAGAGGAGGCAGCGGCAGCGCTGCCGAGGTGCCGGAAAGCAGCAGCATCCCTTAACCCCCACCATGGTTACCCTTGTCCCCATGACCCACCCATCATGTACTACATTTCTCAGAAGCCTTTGCGTCCCGGAGGGCGGAAAGGGCGGTCCTCTCTCGCTCTGATTGGCTCGCTGGGGCAGAGCCCCCCGCGGCTATTGGGTGAGGCGATCACGTGACGCGGCGGCGGGCGCGTCGCCTCACGGGAGCGGTGTGGGAGCGGGCGGGATGATGGCGGGCCGCCGGAGGGAGCAGGTCCGCTAGGCCCTCCGTCATGCTGGGGGCTCGGGGAGGGTGGCAGGCCCTTCGCCGCTACTCCTCCCTGCCTCGGGCCGTGCGGCTGCGGGTCCGCGAAGCGCTGGGGGCTCGGCAGCCGGTTGACGAGGTTAAAGTGCAGGTGTGTGGCCGGGAGGTCGGGGTGTGCCCGGTAATGACCCGGCCCGGAGCCCCAGCCGAAGGGGAGAGGAGCTGAAGTGGCGTGGGCCGTGCTGGGTCCGCTCCTTGTGCCTCAGGGAGTAAAGCTAGAACCTCTGCAGCCGAATTTAGTAAACTTACAGATGTCTTTTACAGTCTGCAGAGCTGGAGCGGCGTGGGCTGTGCTGGGTCAGCTCATTGTGCCTCAGGGAGAAAAGCTAGAACCTCTGCAGCGGAATTTACTAGACTTACAGATGTCTTTTACGGTCTGCAGAGGCAGCTTTTGCGGTATTAGGTCAGTTTGCTGTTGTGAGATCAGATATGAAGCTTGGAAGTTGCTCAGACCACATGCAGGGAGAGAAGGTTGCTGTGGTGGGTTATACTGAAACGTGCTCTGTCCAGTTTTGGTTTTTATCACCTGTTTTGGTTTGGGAGGGTGAACCAGAGTGAATCTCTGCGCTGTTTATAAAGATTTGCTTTAGGTCTCATTCCACTTCTAGGTTTATAGCAGCGTCGGGTAAAGTCAGCGTAATGGTTTCATTGATGTTTGTGTCCAGCTCCTGTTATGAACCAAGGTAGACTGGGATAATTCTTCTGTTTTGCAATGGAGCTCTTTCCCTTTCCTCAGCACAGGGTCGTGTGGCCCCCTGTTTTTTGGTGTTCCCGACTGACAGGTGCATAGTCCCTCTTTTAGTGCAAGGCCCTTGGCTAGAACTGTGCAGATATCAGTATTTCTAGATGTCTCTGTAAAGGACTGGGGTACTTGGTAACAGTTTTAAACTAAACTGAAAGAGGGTAGATTAGTAAAAAATAATTTCTTTCCTGTAAGGGTGGGGAGACACTGGCAGAGGTTGCCCAGGGAAGCTGTGGATGCCCCATCTCTGGAGGTATTCAGTGCCAGGTTGGATGGGGCTTTGAGCCACCTGATTTAGTTGAAGTTGTCCTTGTCCATGGCAGGGGGTCAGACAAGGTGATGTTTAAAGGTTCCTTCCAACCCAATCCATCCTATGATTGTACTGGCCCAAAACCCAGTCTGTAGCACACTTCTGTTCTTGCACACACGTAGCTGAACTTTAACAGGGTAGGAAGAAGCTCATCCAGCGTAGGTCTTCTTCAGCTGTAGTTTTATGAATAATGCAAGCTGGAATAAACTGATGCTAAAATTGGCAATTCTGCCTTCTTTTTTTTCACCCCAGGTCGTTGCTGCTTTGTTGCTCTGCCCCTGTGCTGGCAAAATATGGTTTTTCTATTAAACTGGGTTGGGGAACTGATCTGGCTTAAAACCAACCTTGTTATGGGAATGTGCAGCCTGGTCTGAGTCGGGGTTGTTACTGCACATTGCTTCTGGTATGGTGTAAAGTGGTCAAAACGTTCCTGCTACAGCCACTGCTGATCCAATACAAGCCTGTGGGTATGGGTTTATTTCCTATTGCAGGATGCAAGACTCATCTTCTTATTTGACAGATCCCAGAACAGTGTGCTAAGGTGGAAAAAAAAAAGCTCTTGAGAATCTTTCTTTTTTCCAGGGTTATGTGTGTTTTGGTAAGGAGAGCTTTAGGAGGAAAGAAACTAAGGAGAATGTCTGCCATTGTACATTAAGCATCAGGCATCAAGTATAATGTATATGATGTGTTCTGGGGATTTACTGGAGTACAGAGGGTAGGCATAACAGCTTCAAACTTGTTGTGTTGCTGTGTCCAGAGGAGAGCCACCAAGCTGGTGAGGGGGCTAGAGAACAAGTCATACGAGGAGAGTCTGAGGGAGCTGGGCATGTTCAATTTGGAGAAAAGGAGGCTTAGGGGAGACCTCATTTCCCTCTACAATTACCTGAAAGGAGGTTGTAGAGAGGTGGGGGTTGGCCTCTTCTCCCACGTGATAATGACAGGACCAGAGGAAATGGTCTGAAGTAGTGGCAGGAGAGGTTTAGATTAGATATTAGTAAGAATTACTTTACTGAGAGGATGGTCAGGCCGTGGAACAGCCTGCCCAGGGAGGTGGTAGAGCTGCCATCCCTGGAGGTATTTAAGAAACGTGTAGATGTGGCACTTCAGGGCATGCTCTGGTGCCCAAGATTGTTGGGTTGTGTCTGTTTGAGGGGTTTTTTTGGTGTTGGGTTTTTTGGGATTATTTTTGTTGTTTTTCTTTTTTTCCTTTGTGGTTGGACTCGATGATCTCAAAGGTCCCTTCCAACCATGAAGATTCTGTGATAAGAATATGACGGTGCCCAAATGACCAGACTTCAGTTTTAGACTCTTGTTTCTTGTCTTATTTCTTTGCCTGGGATGGAAAACCTTGCAGAGGTCGTTTAGGGAAGCACTTGTCTGAAATTGTGAGGCTGGAGCAAAAGGTGAAGTTTTGTTAATCAACAGGTTTATGGCTTTAAAATCCTCCCTAGTTCTTGTATGTGTTTGTTCTCTCCCCGTTATCCAAGCCTGTCTAATGCCTTGTCTCTGAGTAGTCATGTTGTAGGTTTAAGAATGCTTTACTTCTGGTACGGTTTAATTCTTGCTGTTTGTTCAGCCTGGGCAATAGAAGTAGATGGATTCACAGCAGAAGACAAAACTGATCTGAAAAGAGGCAGTTTGGTTGTTTAATCAGCACTGTTTTCGGTTGTTCTCTGCAGTATTATTAAAAGATGAGCTTGAAGTTCCCAAGCCGATAGTTTTGCTTTTAAGGGCAGCTTTGTCTCAGCTCTTGTGAGCTGGGAAGCAACTAAGGGAGTTGTATTGACTTAACATTTCCCTTAAAAAGAACTTAAAATTTATTTCTTATTGAAAAACTCAAGACATTACCATGACATGTACATGGTCAGTTCCACTGTTTTGCTGTTACAAAGAGCTGCTGTGTGACTGGTTTAATTCTTTTAGTCAAATCAGACAAGAACCCTCCTAGATTTTTTTTTTCTTAGTATTTCTTTTCCCGTGGGGGCAGTGTAGCAGTCTTTATTTTGAGGTGTAAGCAGAAACATCCAAAATTTTCAGGTTTAGTTAAATTTTTGTCTTGTGTGAATATGTAGTTTTTCACCTGAGTCTGTTGGCTGCAGCTGTTGGCATTGACAGTCCAATGACTTAGGGCATGTAAACAACCAGCGAACAAATTTCAGCAACAAAAATTGGTACTAAAAATCATCAAAACAGTCTTCAGTGTGTTATAAAGAGCTATGAATTACTGGCCTCTCCTGTTACAGTAAGAAGTGTTTTGAAGGGACATCACTAATAATATGTACTTTGCTAAAATGCTTTTCATCTTCAGAACAACTTTGCCTCTTTCCGTGTTCTCAGTTCCCAGAGGTGCAGGTAGATTTTGGTTATCCCTGCTGTACTCAGGAGAGGAGTTGATGTCCCTGCCTAAGGATTTGTTTTTCTTTGCTTTGAAGTCAATAGAAAAACTGACACAACTTTTTTTTTTTTAATTATTTTTTACTTTTTTTACCCCTAAAGAAGTATTTCCTTTGATTTCAATAGGAAGTTGACGCACGTCCAGCTCAGCTAGAAGAAGAGCCATGACTACACAGAGTCTACGCCAAGCAATAACAAATTTCTTTTTCTTTTACCTCTAGGGCTGGGTCCGCTCTGTCCGATCCCAGAAGGAAGTTTTGTTCCTGCACATAAATGATGGGAGTTCTCTGGAAAGCCTCCAGGTGGTTGCTGATCCCAGTCTGGAAAATAGGTTGGTCAATTTGAGATATCTAGAGAAACATCTGTGTTGATCAGTGGTTGGAGGGATCTGCTCAGGCCTCCTTCCCTGTCACAGTGACTCACCAGAACCTCCAGCAGCTGGCACCTGACTATGGGAAAGGCACATCTGGAGGTCACTGGATGTGTTTTAGGATGGAGAGTGTCCATCTACTCTGTCTCCACTTAACTGAGGCTTCATGGTTCAGCTGCTCATCCTGTGGATTAATTTGAATCACATTTTCTTAACAGCTGTAGCAGCTTGGGGGATGACTGTCCCCCAGGTTTTTGGAGGGTGCTGTTGCTGTTCCCATAACAAGTTGAGGGCTGGCCTGGTAGGCACACCCCCTAGACAGGGATGCCTGTTCTATTATTATAGGGTAATAAAATAATGCACTTATTTTACAGCTTCATCTTGTTTGTTACTCTAAATTGTTCTTTGAGCTAGGGTTGGGAGTTTCAGGATGATCCAGGACACTTTTGCACATAACTTGATTTATTTTTGGTTTTTTTTCCTATAATTCCCCACCAATAGCCCCTTTGAATATAAACCTTTCCCCCTCACTTGTCCAAAATTCCTTGTCCTGTTTAGGACAAGACACTCCTGTCTTGTCCTAAATTCTTCCATGGCTTTGTGAATCTATTCACATTCCCCACCTATGCGTTTAATAATATTTTATTTCATCAGTTAATGGCTACAGTATCTCTTGTGATCTCAAGCGGTCCAGGTAAATTAACAGGAATCTTTTCTGAATGTGGCTGACTTTATATCAGCACCTAGTTAAGCTGCTGTTTTTTCTTGATTTTCTTAGAGACCTGACTTTTGGAAGCGCAGTGGAAGTGCAAGGAAAACTGGTCAAAAGTCCTCATAAGAGGCAAAACATGGAGCTGAAAGCCGAAAGCATCCGTGTGGTGGGACCTTGTGATACTTGGGTATGTCACTGTAGCAGGAGTGCAACTGGTAGGACCACTGTGGGAGTTAATTTCAAAAGGTCCAAATATCCAGCAAAGCATGCTTCAAACTGTATTTTCTCTAAGTCTGAGTGCTCCTGCAGGCTGTGATTTGTTGGCAGTGTCCATAGGGTATGTCAAAGGAGAAACATGGGATCACCATGAAAGCTTTCTTTGGGGGCAGAGCTGTTTCTGCGTGGAAGCTGGCACACGTGCTGCCAGCTAAGAGTATTCTCACTGTAAAGTCATTGACCTGTGCCAGGTGGTTTAGCTGTTAATTCTGGCTGGAACAAGAATTGGAGAAGCAGTGGGGACTGGTGAAAAACACTACAAATTGGTGGAATAACCATATCTGGCACATTTGGAAGCAACGTGCTGTTGCAACAGTGAGATGAACGGTGGCTTTCAAGGGGGCTTAACATCCAAAAGGTGGAGCATTTCAGAGCACTGCTACCTTATCTTCTGTTCATGGCTCTTGCTCTGCTGTAAGCATTATAAAATCCACAAAATAACTAGAGAAGATACACAAAAGCATCTAATTCTTCTCTCTCTGTAATGATGATTGAGTTTTGGTAGGAAGAGACGGTGTTCCATGGATAGCAATAAAACTATATTGACTCCAAGTTCTCATCCTGTTATTTTTCTTGTGTTGTTGTTTTCAGTCGTTCCCCCTAAAAATGAAGGAGAGGCACCCGCTGGAGTACGTCCGACAGTTCCCTCACCTGCGGTGCAGAAACAACACGCTCGGCTCCCTCCTGAGAATCCGCAGTGAAGCCACTGCAGCCATCCACTCGTTCTTCCAGGTAGTCCCTTCTGTACCGAGCCTCATGTGTAAAACATTCCCCCAGTTTGGCTTTGCAGTGTGTAAAACATTCCCCCAGTTTGGCTTTGTTGGGAGGGAGGGAGCGTGATGTCTTTAATGGATTTTGGACATGGTGGTTTTCTTTCTAGGCCTTGGCCAGGCTGTTGCTTATCATAGAATGGTTCAGGTTGGAAGGGACCTTAAAGATCACCGAGTTCCAACCCCCCTGCCATGGGCAGGGACACCTCCCACCAGACCAGGTTGCTCAAAGCCCCATCCAGCCTGGCCTTGAACCCCTCCAGGGATGGGGCAGCCACAGCTTCTCGGGGCAACCTCTTCCAGTGCCTCACTCACCCTCATGGAAAAGAATTTCTTCCTAATGTCTAATCTAAATCTCCCCTCTTTCAGTGTAAAACCATTCCCCCTCATCCTATTGCTCCACTCCCTGATCAAGAGTCCCTCCCCATCTCTTCTGTAGCCCCCCTTGAGGGACTGGAAGGGGCTCTAAGGTCTCCCTGGAGCTTTCTCTTCTCCAGGCTGAACACCCCTAACTCTCTCAGCCTGTCCTCACAGCAGAGGTGCTCCAGTCCTTGGAGCATCTTCGTGGCCCTCCACTGGACCTGTTCCAACAGGTCCATGTCCTTCCTGTGTTGAGGACTCCAAAGCTGGACACAGTGCTCCAGCTGGGGAGCTCACCAGAGCAGAGTAGAGGGGTACAATCCCCTCCCTTGCCCCACTAGCCACACTTCTTTTGATGCAGCTCAGGATACAGCGTTCAGTTTAGCGTACCTGTTGTCTTGTTAGTGTCTTTCCACCCATTTCCTGTTAATTATTTTATCCCTTTAACTAAGTTGCAATATTGCTGCCAGTGTGTGTGTGGTCTGTGGAACACAACATAATGCGGAGTTGTTTAACCCATCCTCAGCAGTGACCTTATGGTCTTTGGACAGAAGCCTCCTCCCACGTGGAAAAATTTGCGATGCAGGAAGGCTACCAATTGACTCAGAGCCTCAGTAAATTAACTCTGATTCCAGATGCCACACAGATAGCATGGGTTTCCTCGTAAAGAAACGTAGCAAGTCCTCTAGCAAACCTGAGTCCTTTCTTTTCAAACTGTTCATTGAAATAAACATGGTTTAGTTCAGCTAAACTGGCTTCAGTTTCAGTAGTATCATATTCAGAGCATTCTGATTATAAAATTCTTATGTAGTAATTAACATGGCCCAAGGAACAGGTCAGAAATGTTGAGAGTGAATTTCTGGTCACAAGAATGCTGCGATTTGTCGCCTGCAGTGGCGAAGAAACATTGCTTGCTCTAAGAGTTATCTGTATGGAATTATGTGGTATTTAGAAGATTATGGTTTTCCAAGAACTTAATAGAAATCCAGTGTCAGGTGAAGCTGCTGGTGGTGTCAGTAGTGTGAGACAACCGATTCTGTCGGGAGCCTGGCTTTGCTGGTGTCACACCACCAGATGGCATTGCCTGCAAAAATTTGTGATTTCAAACGGGCCCAAGGAAGCCGAGGTACAGAACAGCATCTTATTCTGACAGAGGCTTTACTTCTCCAAATTAACTCCAACTCTGACTCTGTCGTATATTCCTGTTTAAAAAAAAAACTCAAGAGCTGAGCAATATTAAAAAAGATAAAGTAACATTAATTTAGCAGCAGCAACAGCTACACTAAAGTTATTTTTAAAGGGATAAGGAGGATTTGGTCCCAGACCTGATATTTGCAAATGCTTGTGTCACGACTCTACTGGCACCAGGAATGTCTGTGGTTTGCTCCGTTTCTGATGGAAGGAAGCAGTCTTTTTTTAATTGCCACCTACCTCGTCCCAAGAATGTTACAATTTCCAACTTGACAATGTCAGAACATCTGATAAAGTATAATCAGAGTGTTTCCACTGTGCAGAGCTGTAACGAGTTTAATGCCGAAAGAAAATAAACAGGTTTTTTGAATACACGTTCAAAATTATGTAGACTCTCCGTAACTTTAAAAACTTTCATTTTTATCCCCTTCATTTCCAACAGTGAATGACTAATACCAAATGCCTTTGGTTTGGATGTTGAAGGCGAAAATGTCGTCTTTAAATCTTCTCCTGAGTGTTGTGGTCCATGTGGGATAGGAACATTGTTCCTAGACACAGTGAAATGGTTGCAATGTGAATGGCAGCCTCCACTTTGCACATTAACTAACTTCCAGGTTTGTCAGAGCCAATAATATGACATGAAGTATTTTAGGAGCTTTTATAAGGGGAACTGAATAAGCTGAATCTCAGTGAGGAGCTTCTGCCGGGCACTCAACAAGCCAAATTTTGCACCTGTAGCCAAGGTAGCCTGGAGATGACTGAGGGGACTTTGCTCCCTCTAGATCGTGCTATGGCATTTCCACAAAATGCATTGTGTGTCCATATGAACTCTTTGGTGCAAATTAATTTTAGTTTGATTCCCAGGATGGGCAATAAATATTGCTCCTGTTGTCTTAGCCTTTTAACTATGTACTGGTAAGGACCAGTGTCTGTCATGAATGGTTGATTTATATTATTGTGGTAAAAGCTGTGAAACTAAGCTTTTAGAAACATTTGCTTTTTATCTTTTTCTTTTTTTTTAATTAGTCTTTTGTGTAAATAGACAATGGGTTATGCTACATCATTGCCTGTATCGTGGTAATGCTGGCACACCCTGGTTTTAAAGGGATTCCCTTTGTACTAGATATTACAGTGATGCAAGAGAAAACAAACCCTCTGTTCCCAGCTGAAATCAGGTAGTTCCAGGTTCTTGTTTGCCTTGACGTGCTCTGTGATCCACTCCATAGTGAGACTAAGTTAGGAGGCTGATGGTTAGTAGTTAGTTCTGTTCCCAATTCTGCCTCTAATGGGCTGTGTGTCATTGTCTGGGGTCTGCTTGATGTACCCATCCACTGAAAATCGGGTTGCAGCTGGTTTAAAAGCCTATGGCTGCACTGCAGAGAAACACAGAAAATAGGGGTTCTTTCTTCCTGCAGCTTCGTGGTTTCCAAGGTCTCTGCTGGCTGTATGAACAAGTAATTGTCCAGGTACCTAGAAGGTGACCAAGCCAGGGTCACCTTAAAATCAGTTTGACTTTGATATCTGAGAAGATGTGAGGAGGGATGGACATTTTCATGTGTTAAGATGTCTATCACATGTGGTGTGTGATTTCTGTCACGTAACACACTCTCTTATGAGGAAAGACTGAGGGACTTGGGTCTTTTTAGTATGGAGAAGACTGAGGGTGGGGTCTGATTTATGCTATAAATAATAGCATAGGGTGGGTGTCAAGAGGATGCCGCCAGTCTTTTTTCAGTGGTGCCCAGTGACAGGACAAGAGGTAATGGGCACAAACTTGAATATAAGAAGTTCCATCTAAACGTGAGAAGGAACTTCTTCACTTTGAGGGTGGCAGAGCCCTGGAAGAGGCTGCCCAGAGAGGTGGTGGAGTCTCCTTCTCTGGAGACATTCAAAACCCGTCTGGGTATGTTCCTGTGCAACCTGATCTTGATGGTCCTGCTCTGGCAGGGGGTTGGACTAGATGATCTCCAGAGATCCCTTCCAATCCCATATCATTCTGTGATTTTGTGATCATTTCTTTCAGTGGAGAACACTAAGAGAGTGTCCTCTGGCCAATCACTAGCTTCCAAAAAGCTGGAAGAGACTGAAGTGTTGAGGCTGTAGGGATGAATTTGCTTGAAAATGCCCAAAAATGGAGGAGGTTAGAAAAAAGGGCAATGGTGTGGAGATGCATAGTAATGGCATGAATCTCATTTCTTTATGAAATGTGGAAGAAAAAGCACAAGTAGTAAACATTGATTAGTAAATCATGCTAGTATTTAATTAGTCTTCTGTCTTTGTCCATTTAAGGCAGAAGTTGCCAAGAAGAGTACATATGCTGTACTGGTTGGGGGCTAATAGCTGAGTCATAACGTGTGCTGGTTGATATCATCCTCAAAGTTGACGTTTGATATCTTTAGCCAGTTAACTTCTAGTGTTCTGTCTATTGCAGGATAATGGCTACGTGCATATTCATACCCCCATAATTACATCAAATGACTGTGAAGGTGCCGGGGAACTCTTTCATATTGAGGTAAGTTGAGTTGCATGAAGTTTGATTGGATTTTTGCTTGCAGAGCAGTTCTGGAGTCATTGAAGGTTAGAGGAAATGCTTGTCTTCACAAAACCTTTCCTTTATGTACTTCTGTGATTATGTTTTTTAATATTGCAGGCCTTTGCTTCAACTAGCAATTTAAATAGATGCATTACTTTTTATTTTATTTTATTGCTGTTTTGTGCATTAGTGAGAACCGTTTGTAATGATGAGTTTTTTTCTGTCCCTGGTGTGGTGGAAAAGTCTACAAAGAACCACAGAGGGAGGTGGAACATCTTAATAAACAGAAAGATGTGATCATAAGAGCCCAAGAGCTGGGATGGGACATTCAGGACAGCCTGTTACACATGAATATTTCTTACCTTTGAAATGAAGATAGGATATGGAGATATGGAGATAGGATATGGAGATAGTTTCTTAAAAGAAAGTCAGCAATGCCTAAAACTCCTTTTCACCTGTGTATATATTCCTCCCTACAAGCTACTCCTGCTGTATGTCAGAATTCTCCCCCAATATTGCCAAGTCTCCCCATCCATCCACCAAATTACTGCCACAATCTGTCGTTATATAAAGTGCTTCACAACTTGGGTCAAAACCTCCTGTGAAACTTAGGTACGGCTATAACCACTAAAATATTCCTAACCCCCACATCCATGAATCATAAGAAATTCCATCTGCCTTTTATACTTCTATATTTGAAATTCACTCTTCTGTCTCAAACAATTACATCCACTGCCACTTATGCTTCCTGGCTCCAGCCTTGCTGGTGAATCATCTGTAAGCAAAAGGAAAAACTGTTGAGGTGGCAGTTGCAGGATCACGTACGTCTTCCACTCTCCACACAGCCTCCTGACAAAAAGCCTCCCTGTACTGGTTCTTCAGCATCTCAAGGTCTAACCTGTGCTACCAGTGATTCCCTTCCAGACCCAGTATATGCGCCTCAGCTTTCTTGCTTGCTGGGACAATAGACTTGATTAGCTAAACTAAATGGTTCCTGTTTAATTGAGATCCCTTAATGCTACCCAAGGTTCGTTCCAGGCTGTTGCATGCAAATTAAGATGTGAAAACAAGTGACACTTAATGATGAGAACATTATACAGTTTGCAGCTGTACAGTGTATTACGTCTTGGGTACAAATTGTATCCACTTGAAAAGCTGTGAAGGATGCAGGACGGCGGCGTAGGTGGCTGGTAGTAACAGAAACACGGATGCAAATGTTGATGGAGGTGCTAAATCGTGAGGCTGAAACTCGTGTAAACTGGATCTGAATTAAATGCATAGTTCAAGGCAGCTTTCTTGCTCTCCCCAGCATGACTGCGTATGTGTAAGTAATACCTGCGCTTTCTTGCTCTCCCCAGCGTGATTGCATACGTGTAAGTAATACCTGTCTTGGAGAAATGCAGTGACAGCTTTCCTTGAAAGGTGTGGTGTGAGTGGCCGAGTCAGATCCCACAAAGAAAGGGCTTCAGAAACCCACTTGCTGGTGGGAAGTGGGAAGTTCTCCCTGATTTCCTGTTTCTCTTCTGAGCGCTGCTTCATTGTCTGGCCTAATTTAGGAGTTGGTTTTGTTTCTGCACAGCTCTGTTCAGAATTGGTCAGGGCAAGCAGAGATCCAAGACCACTTGCTATCCCTCTGTGACTCCTCTGAGCAGTGACACTGTTTCTTGAGAGTAGAAATCTGGGGGAGGATTAAGCCTTGCTTGGGCCATGAGTATGAGGCTGTCAGACATAAAAATAAAGGTGACATAAGAGTGACAGCCATAAAAATCCAGGTGTGGCATTTGCAGCAAACCCAGAATCTCTATGTACTTTTAATCAAACCAAACATCAACACATTCCTCATCTGCTGAGTTGGCTTGCTTTTAAACTAGCCCTTCATTCACTGCTTGTGCAGGCCAAGGGAGAAAATAACTTCCTGTTGCTCTTGTATTTGAGCAGTAACCAAGAGCTATGGTGATAGGAATCAGTGAAAGTGACCTGCAAATTAGATTCTTCTATTTAAACCCTATACTTAAAGTTTTAAGACCTATCCTCATCAGTTGGTGTCCTGTTGCCCCTCCATTTGTAGCAGTTGCAATACCCCTGCTGCTTACAGGTTGTTTTTTCTTCCCTTTTTTTTTTCTTTTTCCTTTAGCTCCCCTGGGTGGTTTATAAAACTGTCCAGGTGTGGCATTTGCAGCAAACCCAGAATCTCTATGTACTTTTAATCAAACCAAACATCAACACATTCCTCATCTGCTGAGTTGGCTTGCTTTTAAACTAGCCCTTCATTCACTGCTTGTGCAGGCCAAGGGAGAAAATAACTTCCTGTTGCTCTTGTATTTGAGCAGTAACCAAGAGCTATGGTGATGGGAATCAGTGAAAGTGACCTGCAAATTAGATTCTTCTATTTAAACCCTGTACTTAAAGTTTTAAGACCTATCCTCATCAGTTGGTGTCCTGTTGCCCCTGAATTTGTAGCAGTTACAATACCCCTGCTGCTTACGGGTTGTTTTTTCTTCCTTTTTTTTTTTTTCCTTTTTCCTTTAGCTCCCCTGGGTGATTTATAAAACTAATAATCTCTCCAGTTGAGCTGTCCTGCTGCAGGTGGACTGAGTTGAAAACTTTGGTTGAGTAGCCCTTAGGACCCGAGTAGAGGCTGCTTTTGCACCCACTGTGAACCAGCGCCTTTTAATAGCTGTCTTTCTCCTGACTGGCACAATTTTAATCCTCTGACTAATGTCTGGTGGCTGCTCAGGCCCGTGCATTCTTTGGAAATGGTGGAAAGTGAAGAGAGCAGGAGAATGTTTTTACATGACATTTGAAGAAATGGGAGGGGGAGGAATATCTTGAGTTAGTAGGAAAAAGCTTTTTGAGGGCGTATGATCTTTGATTCCTAAACCTCTTAATCCTGTAGGATTTGTGATTGTTTATGTGTTCGGCTTCCTTATTATCTTTGTTTGGTTTGGGGCACACTGATTAGTGTGTACGTAGCTTTTGGTTGGGAAGTTCTCATACTTGGGATGAAGGAGAGTCCCTTTCCTTTCTGCTCAGCAAATCAGTGCAGCTAAATCCCGTAAGTCAGGAGGGGGGGAAATCCCATAATCAAAAGTCCCGTAACAGTGAAATAGAGGGCAGTAAGAAGAGGAGATTTGAAAGAATAAATAAATCACAAGATGGTAAAAACTCCAGACACCTGAAAAGTGTAAGTTTGAGGAGAATTTTGAGGAGAAACTGCCGGAAGTGTGAGAACAGCCAGGCAGACCCAGCAACACCAAACCTGTGGATTTATGCACCGTTGATGGTGTCCACCTTTGGTGGAACCCTGGAGGGGGGGAAGCATCTTGCTTGTGCTGCCTTCTTTAAAGTAAACTTACTGAAAATGCTGAAAGAGCCTTTAATATTGAAAGCTGGGTTTTAAGCAAATGCAAAGTAGAACGAGGTAGTTTTTGAAAGAAGGAGAGCTCGGATCAGCAGGGTGAGATGGCCCCTTTTTATTTTGTTTTAATTTAATCTGAGAATAATTCCTCTGTATCATCTCAACACCTCAGGGCGGATCCTTTCCTCACATTATTTTTTCTTTTTTTTCTTCTGAAGTCTAAAATACTTAGCAGCTTTGTATGTTGCAAGAAACTTTACAGAGTCTCCCCTTCTGGGGCTGCTTCCGAGGAAATCTGCTTTTCTTTTGTCTTTGTGACCCGGCTGCGTGTCTGTTCCCTGCTATTTTCAGTAGCCTCCCACTCTGTCTGCAGTGTTGAAGGCTCCCTGCTTTCTGGTTCTCTCCCTCTGTCTTTTTCACTTGCTCCCTGGCAAGTCTCCTTGTTTGACTGTCCTCAGTGACTGTGGAGAAGGTGGAGGCTCCTCTAAGCTCTGGAAGAGTCCTTCTGGCCCAAGACACTCCAACCAGTGTGATGAGGCCCTGGACAGGCACTTCCCCTGCAGCCCAGCTGCAGCCTTTTAAAAGAACTCGGGGTGCAGTGGATTCAGAAAGCACAACAGCTGTATTGGCATTCACAGCTCTTTAAAGCAGATCTCATGTGTTTTGTGTTGCTTGTGACCTTCTTCCTTTCTGGGGATGGTGCTCTGCATGTAAGGGTGGTGCATCAAAGTCGAGGGAGGTCATCCTCGCCCTCTGCTCTGCCCTGGTGAGGCCCCATCTGGAGCACTGGGTCCAGTTCTGGACTCCCCAGTTCAAGAAGAACAGGGAACTGCTGGAGAGGGTACAGCAGAGGGCTACAAACAGAATTAGGGGACTGGAACATCTCTCTGATGAGGAAAGGCTGAGGGACTTGGATCTTTTTAGTCTGGAGAAGAGAAGGCTGAGGGGGGATCTGATCAACACCTATAAATACTTAAAGGGAGGGTGTCAGGAGGATGGGGCCAGTCTTTTTTCAGTGGTGCCCAGTGACAGGACAAGAGGAAATGGGCACAAACTGGAACATAAGCACTTCTGTCTAAACATGAGGAGGAACTTCTTCACTTTGAGGGTGGCAGAGCCCTGGAACAGGCTTCCCAGAGAGGTGGGGGAGTCTCCTTCTCTGGAGACATTTAGAACCCACCTGGATTTGTTTCTGTGCAACCTGCTCTGGGTGGACTTGCTTTGACAGGGGGGTTGGACTAGATGATCTCCAGAGGTCCCTTCCAACCCCATATCATCCTGTGATTCTGTGAAGGAGTGCTGTGCTCTGCCTGTTGGCTCCAGCAGAGGTAACGCATGTTCTGCATCAGGCTTGTCTCTTCCCACACACATACCTCATTTCATCAGGGTCTGGGTCAGGCTGTTTCGTTAATCAAAAGGATTAATGAAATTAATCCTTTGATTAATTGATTTAACTGCAAACCTGAAAAATCATGCAGATGTTGTTCTTACCTAAAATGTGTCCACAGATGGTGCGGTGTTTGGTTTTTTGCCACGTGCTCACAGGGAGAATGGAAAAGCTTCTGGATGCCTGAAGGATGCAAGTGCATCTTGAGCCTCCTGTGGAGCCAGAAATCCATTC